TAAATGGGGAGAGGGAGGGAGAGAGAGAGAGAGAGAGAGACAGAGAGAGAGAGAGAGAGAGAGAGAGCCAGACTGAGAGGGAGAGAGAGGGAGAGAGAGAGTCAGAGAGAGCGAGAGAGACAGAGACAGAGAGAGAGAGAGAGAGAGATGGACAGAAATGTACTGAGAGCAGCCCAGGCGACTGCTGCGTTTGCAGAAGATTGCACGAATTGGGGCCGCTCGGTTACCGGATCGAGCGTTCTTGAATGACTCGGATTTGGTTTAGGGTATAGGGTTTGGGTTGGGGGGGGTTCTGGTTCAGACTGTCAGGCGTGGGTTGATTCGGCAGTTTCTGGATATTACTGCTCATTTTACGAAGGTCTGTGCTGTTATAATGCTATACTTCTGAGAATGATAAGCAATTTGTACTTGTATTGTAAAGCAGATTCTGGCACGGCGGGGTTTGACTCTATTTTAATGCTTTGCTTGGACAGTCTAAACCCTGAACCCGAAACCGGGTTGTTGTTACGCTGTCATACAGCAGTCCTGGGCTTATGATGCGGATAGGTAGTTGCAGAAGCCCGTCAGCCAAAGAACCGGGCCAAGAGGCTTAAGGCGTAAACGCTTATCGGTTATGTTGAGCCCCATTCCACGAGGCAGATGAATTCCGAGGTCTACATGTCGGGAGCCTCGATATATACATATATATATATACATATATATATGTGTATGTATGTATGTATGTATGTATGTATGTGTATATATATATATGTATGTGTGTGTGTACATATACATACACACACATGCACACACACACACACATATGTATGTATCTTATATATATATATATTACACGCACACCTCTCTCTCTGTCTCTCTCTCTCTCTCTCTATATATATATATATATATATAACTTTCTGTATATATATATATATGTATATACACACACAGGGGGGTACCCCATATATATATATATACACATGTATGCATAAGGGAGTCCGTGGTAATCCCCCATGACCAAGACTTGGCCATGTCATGGAAGCATGATTCGTAACCTGAAGCCCAAAGCACGCACGCGAAACCCCAAACCAAAGCCATCAATGATCAGGAGCTCATTGCCAAGCATTTCACCTCGTTCCTTGGCCTTATCGGTAATCCACTACGCGGTGATATGAGTTTTTAGTTTTTATTCGCGGCTCACAATAAATAGTCTCATGGCATTCCAGTTGGTGCCAGGCACCAAACCGTCACGCTTTATTGCTCTATCTCTGGCTTTCTAGGAATCCAGCGGATGCCGCAAAAGTCGTGGCACGCTGTGTCTGTGACACCGTATGAACGCTGTGCGAATTCTCGGTTGGTTCTGTGAGCTTTCGAAGTCTCTCTTTTTTCAGCATCCTCGAGACCAGGCTCCCAGGTGGTCATCTATTCTTCAGGTGCTTCCGGTCCTATCTTCATATGGGCGTAGCCAGGGCCTAGGAACTCTTGTCAGCCCGGATTGAATTGTCGATTAGTATGTTCGGGCATGTTGTATGGGTGATGTGCCCCCGGGATCGATGACAAGTGTGCCTTAAATCAACTGCGATTCCATTTACCTGTTGTGCCGATGCTTGAGCCAGTGTCCGGCGACTGATGCTTGGGCATCTAGACTCCATAGAGAGTCTGAGTCTGACTCCTGCTGATTTCTGTCAGCGGGTTTAGTGAAATATACACGTCAAGTCCTTTACAGAAGCAGCCCCTTGCATGAACCTTGGTGGTATTTCGGCATCCGTCGCGCCTGAGGGGCGTGTTACAAGAAGTTGGGATTTTGGACAGAAGGCTAGCTTAGTTCACTGCCTCGAGGGACGGTTTAGGGTTTATGTATACGGCTTGGGGAGGCAGGATATCTTTCGAGCGATTTCGGTGCAAGTGGCAAGCTGCCAAGTATAGAAGTCAGCAGTCCCAGCAGCTCGTCTTGCGCCATGGGGAACTTGCTTGGTGGCAATCGCCACTTCGAGGGCGTGGTGGCAGGCACGCAATGTAGCAAGCTTCCGGGTTGGGGTCGACAGAGTTTCAGGCTCTGCGGCTCAGGGTTTCAGTCTCTGTTTGCTTTAGGTGGTGTCTAAACCGTAGCAGTTAGGAAAGTCATTCCCTCGCTGTCTCGTTCTCGCGCTGCCCATCGAGGCTGTCGCGGGTTTTTTTTTCTGCTGAATGGTTGAAAAACAGCACACCTGAACCCTCTGTAACCAAATCATAATCTCATCATCCCGAGCGTCACCTTCGAGATCCAAGTTGTGCTGTGAAGCTCAAAACCCTTCGGGAGGATTCTTAGACCCGACAGGGCACCTTTAGTCGCGATATGCATAACACTCAGAATTAGGCCACCGCCCACGAACTTAAACTTTAAATGAACTCTCTGCGGTGCGACCTTGTCAGCTGGACGGGTGGGAAAAACTCTAAATGCTAAGCTCAAACCTGCACCCGAACTATGCAACACTGCAAACCGCTGGCCAGGATTGCCGAGCATGGCTGGGAAGGTGGTAGCTGTCACGGGCTGCACTTCGGGCACCGGCAAGATCTTTGCACAGGCAAGCTGCAGCGAAATTGTTGAACCACGACATTTCGGGCCAATAGGTAGGAGTTTTCAAATTTAGCGGTTGAGGGAGCAGTATATTCCGATGTATATGTATGTATGTAAAATGAATGAGATGTAATGCGACGTAAGCAAATTATGTACTTGTGTATGGAGACGTGTATGTAACATGTATGTATTTAGACATCTATGTGTATGTATGTATGTATGTATATATATATATGTGCGTGTGTGCCTCTATCTATATATATATATATAGAAACATATATGATTGTTTCGTCATGTTTTCACACGTATAAGCACGACCCAGAAGCTTCTCTAGGGGGTCAGGGTAGGGGGTCAGGGTAGAGATGATTTCTACCGCGATTACTGTTGATTCCATGTATCACTGCCGAAGGTTTTTGTTCAAGTTATTCATGATCATTGCTGGCTCCTTCACTTCCTCTCGCCGAGGCACCACTACCTCAGACCCCAAACCCCTACCAGCCGAACCAAAACAAGAGGCAAAAGCAAAACCAAACTACACTGTAATCTTGACTTAGCCCCAAAAGCCCAAACCTTTAACCCTAAGCCCTTGGCCGGAAGGTTTGTGCCGAGAAAGGCGCCAAGCTTGTTCTTCTGAACCGAGAGTCTGAGCGCGCTACGCAAGCTTTGAAGGACGCGCTGACCTTGTAGAGTTTGAGGGAGCTCTGAATATTAATATAGTATATAAGTGCCGTGTGATATTCGTTTGTAGTCCTACCTAGACCTAGTCATACTACAGTCTAGCCCAATACGTGTTTTTAGTTATGAGGGCCCCTATATAAGGCGATTAATTAATACCAGAGTGAGTGGGCTGTCATAAGAGCATCCTTGGAGCCTGCTTTGCTTGTATACAGGGCTCCGAGCTTACAGTAGTGACATAGAGCTTAAGATCCCGAAGCCGGCAGGACATCAGCGAAGCAGCAAAGGCCGCGGGCGCACCTGAGCCTTCTGGCATCCCATGTGACCTCATGAGCTTCAAGAGCGTGCGTGCTGCCGGCGAAAAGCTGCAGGCAGAAGATTGCTTATGGGTTTTCACTCAGGGATTGCAACATACTCGTAGTTCCGAATTTCGGAACCTCCAGACCTGCATGCGCAGGCGGAGCTTCGAGAGAGTGGACTCGATGTCCTGTGTAACAACGCCGGCATCATGGGTTTCGGAGACAAGGCAACAGAGGACAGGTTCGGGCTTGGGATTTCTGCAACGGTCTGGCTCTAACGTCCTTCCATGGTATAACATTAGTTTGAGGCGTCATGGTGTTCTGTCCTCTCGTATGTGCTTCACCGGTCCCTATTCTAGTTCTTCGCGGCTTAGCGGCTCAACAAGATGCAAAACATGCTGGTTTGGAGCTGGACACATGCTTGTGACAGCTTTCGCTGTCCGCTCAGACTTTATCATGAATAATCTTAGCCATAATCATAAGTAGTAGTAACAATAGTAGTAATAATATGCTGTCTCTCGTTGTAAGATTGGGGCCATTCTCCGGCATGTTTGCTCGACAGGCAACATAAAATCTTGTGATGTTACACTGTCGCGTCTTCTGCAAACGTGAGAGGACGGCTGCGATATCCAGATGCAGACAAACCACCTGTCCCACTTCCTTCTGACCTATCTCTGCATGCCTTTGCTTGACAAGGCTGGGGGGCCACAAAGCGCCGTGCTCCCTGTCCCCAGACCATAGTCCCTGAGAACTAGTACAGAAGTCCCATGCTTTGTCTGTGTGTTATGTGTTCTGTGCGTGTGTATATATGTTCCGTCATACGGGGTATTCTGGTCTCTGAGCTCGTGAAAGCCTGCAGGTGCGGATCGCAGTAATGGTGGGTTGGCACGCACAAAACAGAATGAAGCCTGTAGGTCTTACTTAGCCCTTCAAGCACCTCCCTAAACCATGGTGTTGAGGGAGGTTTCCGTTTTTTGTTGATGCTTTCGGGTCTTCCCGGGTCCTGCAGCAAGTCTTTCAGCAGGCGGCATCTTTGCGCGGTGAGGCACGCGTGGTAAATCACTCGAGTTGTGCACGGGTGATGACTGGCCCGGAGTTTACGAACAAGTTGGAAGAGAGTCTTGTCAAGCCACAACAATCGCTGTAACAGGTAGAGGGCCTGTGGTTTCCATTTGGAGGTAAGCTGACTACTGGCAGCTTGGTATCGTCACCTCGTCGTAAGCGCACAGAGACAGAATGTTTTGCCTGCCGTCGTCTCGAAAGCCCAGCCTCTTCGGCCGGTAACTGGTCGTTGCTTTAAGCTTCAAAAGCGGATGGTGAGTAAGGAAGTACATGCAGAAGAACGGCGGAAACTTGGGTGGAGACAGCGAGGAGATCATGAGGGGTGCGAACTTCGTTCGGTACCAGCAGACAAAGCTGGCCAACGTGGCTTTCACCTATGCTCTGCACAAGCGCTTGCAAGAGGCAGGCTCCAAGGTCAAGGCCCTCGTGGCCCATCCCGGCGTTGCTCCCACCCAGCTGGCACAGGGCACCATGAAGGCTGGTGGCGCAAACGACCTTGCACGCTATCCGAAGTGGGCCAGCAGCATTTTCTTCAAGTTGATGTGCTCTGGAGGTTGTGAGAATGCTTTTGTAGTATGAAGATTGACTGCAAGATGTGTACGGCCCAACCAGTAACCGCAAGTCGACCCGAACACGGCCATCGTTTGGGCCTAAGAAGAAAGCTGCAACCCCAGCTCAGCCCCTACATTGTATACAGATTCTTCACTCGATTCTTAACCCTTACACCTACTGCAGGTCTTTGGAAGGTCGGTCTCAAACCCGCCATACCCGAGAAGCACCTAAGCTTCCAGATTCGCAAACCCGAAACAGCTCGAAATTACAGGTACTTCTCGTGCCACTCATAGGCAGGGACCCTACCCCATAAGCCCTACATTACCGCTGCATAAATCACTACTTATATATTTCATCGTACTACCCCTAAACACTACTCAAAACCCTAAGCCCTATACTCCCTACCCTGCAATGCGGGCTCGTCCTAGCAAGGTGGGAGGCAAAAATACTCCCTAGGCCCCAAACCATAAACCATCAAACCAGGATTTGCCGTGGAAAAAGGCCCTCAACAAAAACGGTAATAATCAAACCAAGGTACCAGTCCGAGGAAGATGGTGCGGTTGGAATCCTTCGCAACTCCTGTGACCCTGCCGCTAACTCGGGCGACTTCTTCGGCCCATTGGGCAAAGGCCTCACGCTCGAGACTTTAAGGTTATGGTTATGGGGTTTATGGTTTAGGTTTGTAGGGTTTATGGTGTTGCTCTGGGTGCCGGACTCGAACTTCCGTAGGATGTTGGGATTAAGGAGCTGAGGTTCTTAGCAAGGTCATCTGAATCTCGAAGCCATGCCCATGTAGGATGTGGAGATTAGGGTCTCAATCTCAAGGTCTTGGATGAATCCCGAACTGAAGCGATGGACCGAACCCTAGAAGACGAAGCCTCGGAACAGGCCCATTACAGAAATGAGTCCGCAAACAAGCAAGCTTTGGCAAAGGAGGAGCCACTGGAGCTTTCGATACCGGCGAGTTCAAGGGCCCTGTTGGATTGCTGAAGCACCTTGGTCATTTCTACGACCTATGGAAAGGCAAGTCCCAAAAGTAACCGTAACCATATTGTTTCACATTTACGTAGGGCCTACTGAAGGTAGTCGCGGGCCGCAAGGCATCGGGTGTCAGCATGTTTCAGCATTTCAGGTTCAGGTTGCCTCGGCTGCGCTCATTTCAGGGATGAGGGTTCAGTGAATCTGCTTGTAGTTTTTTGATTACAGATAGCTTAGCAGGAATTATGGCTTGCGAAAAGCCTTCAAGAACCGCATACTTTTCACCCGGCGAGGAAGGAGCCCTTCGCGGACGAGGAGGCTCAAGATATGCTTTGGAAGACAAGCGAGGCGCTTGCATGAGGAAGTTTCTGGTTGTTACATGTTATGGTGTGTGTGTGTGTTTTTGCCCATGGGTTTTGTTGGTTTTGAGGATATCGGGCCCTGTGAATCTATAGGGTGTCGGGGATTCGGGATTAGGGCGTTCTCCGTGTTTGATGGCATTTCTTTGCGGGCAAAGAGATTTAGTTCTAGGCATTGTAGAGTTGGGCGATGTTGGAAGTGGGGTTTAGGTTGAGTGCAAACGTGCGGATTCCAAGTTGTTACTGTGGAAGACCAACATGTGCAGCTTCTTGCCGACACATCAGTACGCCAGAAGTCAGCTGTGCATGTCTGGCGTTCGTCTCGTGTAGGCAAGAAGTCAGCTGTGCATGTCTGGCGTTCGTCTCGTTTGGAGTGCTGGACCTGTTCGATCACGCCGAAAACCCTGCAAACAACCCGTATAAACCCTAGACCCCTAACCCTTAAAATCCCTAGCCCTAACGCCTCGCCTGGTTTGCCCGAGTGTGAGCGCGAAACCGACATAAGCCCCAAGCTCTCGGCCAAAAGAAACCGAATACAGGCCGTGACAGGCGTCAAGTTCGATGTGAAAGAGCGCGGACAAGCCTGCTGCTTGGGGTGCAAATGGGCTTTGGGCTGTGGGGTTTGTAGGCTTCAGAGCTTCAGTTGCCGAGAAGCTTCGGGTTGTGTGGTTTAGCAACGGTTTAGGGCTGAGGGAAAAACTTTAAATAATTCTTCAGGGCTTTATGCCGGGCACTGCAGAAGGGTCCATCTCGGGTAGTTCCTCTTGGCAAAGGGTCAAGTGTAAGCATATTGCGCCTTGTTTCAGATGTGCTACTTGCGACTACTAATACTATTACCATTTATATCAATATTGTCTCTTGTTCTTACTCTTACTATTGCACCGGGAATGTAGAACCACCGAGGGGAACCTCTTGGGTCATTGGGGGTTGGGGGGAGGGAGGCGGGTGCAAGATCATGAAGCATCCTTCAGTCTTGGTCTAAATGCTAAACTAGTCGGGCAACTGGGGCAACATGACCTAGATTACCAACTGCACCCGGCCCCAAGTGGGGCAAGCGGGGCAAAATAACCAACATGACCACGATAGCAAGGTGACCAGCAAACGGCAGAATGTCCTATTACTGTTAATTACTGCAGTAGTCGTCGTCGTCGTCGCCGGCGTCGTCGTCGTCGTAGTAGTAGTACATCATGATCATCCCTTCGGCAAAAATCATTTTTTCGAGGGCCGAAGTAGACAGCTCTTGCGGCAAATCTCCTTGCAGTTGCCGCCAGATTCCATTTGCGACTGAAGCTTTCCACACACTTATTGGCTAATGTTGTGGGGGGTTTGCTGCAGAACGCCATCTACATTCATCAAGACTTTATTTTCCTACCTGGTGGTGGTTTTCTTGTCTATTGCAAGAATGAATTCTGTGTTTCTTGTTCTTCTTGCTTGTTATGGAACTAGCAACCGCCTTTTACGATTATCGTTGTCGTTGTCATTATAGTCATTATGTTTTTGGTAATGCGAACATGTCTATATATGTATATAGCACACCTGTCTTCATTATATGTGCATATATGCATACATAAATACACACACACACACACGCAGGTGTAGGTGTACAGGTATGTATGTATGTATGTATGTATGTATGCATGTAAGGCAGGCACCTTTATGCATAATGTGACTCTCTTATGTTTATGATAAGACAACATATATCCAACCTACATGTGCAACAGTCGATAAAGCCTTGCAAAAGTAAAGACGCTATGCTACACAATGCCTGCTAGACTAGTGTGGCTTTGCTTGACCTGAAATGAATGAATTGAACGGAATGAGAGCGTAATGCATGTTCACTTTAAGCAATTCACATTATAGACCAAACATAACTGATGTCAGCAGAGAACATAGTTTGGGCAACTAGAAAATATGACGCAAAGGGAACGGAACATTAAACAAAAGACCTAGAAGTGCAGAAGAACGCAACAAAGAACTAATGCAAAGTAAACCATAAATCCGCTTACCAATAGTTGTTGTTGTGGCATTTCTAATTGTTGTATTTGGTGCGTGCTTCCATTACCACCAAAATACGACAATTAAAAGCCATATGATTCGTTCCTTTCATTCTGTCATCCTGGCTGTTACCTTTGCGACTCAGCGGATCAACTCGTAGAGGCAGAAGAAAAAGGGCCCCATTTCAACTGCTGAAAGGAACGCAAGGTCTGCACGGTTCATTTCATTTCATTGAAATTGGCCCTTTTTCGTATGTGTCTCTGCTATCACCTGCAAAATTAAGCCATTAAGCTGATGTATAGCATCACCAGCATGGGAAATACACCCACATTAAACAGTGATTTAGCAGCGAAAGCATGCTTCATGCTCTTTCACTGTTTTTTCACTAGTTTAATGTGGTTCTTCACTTCATCCTTTGTTTCGCTCTTATCTTGGCAAGGACCCACGGGACCCGTCTCACAAGCTTAGTCACCGCTCCTAATGCTGGATGGTTCGTGCCTTGCGATAATTTTATTAAATTAACCACAACAACGCAGCACAGGACATACACACGCAGACACAAAGGAAAACGGCTCAAATTTAACTTTATAAACCATGCAGTCACTACGTTCCTTCATGGTTAGTTCATCTAAATTTAGACTTTTGGGGACGAATGGAAAGGAATGTAAGCGAGAAAATAAATTAGCCACAAATCACGAAACAACTTATGAACGAATCTCGAATCCCAGAATACATAAGATGGTAGAAATATACCTGAGCAATTAATTAGGTCATCTATCTGTTACCTTCATATTTGCCTTGTTTTTGTTTTTAAATCTACAGCAAGTCACAAATGAAACGAAGTGAAGTGCGTGGTTTTGCTTTAGTTGAATTAACAAAGCCCATACGAACTTCTCATTAAACCTTCAGTGATAAGGGAAATATGAAGTGCAAGACAAATAAAAGAACGATAAGTGAAGATATGGAATGAACAATGCGCTTTCTTGAAGGATGCGCGATTTCATGTATTGTGCATGTTTTACTTAATTCAGTACACTTTCAGTTGTAACTCTTTGTACAATGCGTATGTAATCAAAACGTGTGCTGCATGCAATGGAATCAAAACAAGACGAACAAATCAGTGATTCAGCTATATTAAACAATGTTGAAGTGAATCCAGCACAGAGCAACTAGTAAAAAGATGTCAACCATGAAAGTAATCGAATGAAGAGTCAAGGAAAAGTTGGGCTTTCTTTCGATTCGTCATGGGAGTACCGGCCAAGTCTTCAGCAAACACGAAAAGAGATAGTGATGAATCCGAGTAAAACTCAGGAACATGTGGGCCCTTTACAATCAAAGGTCAACCACGAAATAGTTCAACACAAAACTCTCTTCTAACAATTCAAGCTGGTACAAACTACAAAGAGAAAAGGTAAGAACAAGCTTCTCTTCCACAAAAAGACAGCTAAAAAGAAGAAACATGATCCCCTTCCTTGAAACCCAGCTAGAACATCTCATTTAATCATTTCAACGGTGTTTCCTTCCGTTCTTTCCTCCCCATCTCCTCTACAGCTAGGGGTGGACTGTATCCATTCGTTTCTCTATTCATCACTTCAGTTTCTGTCCTTTGTCTACAGGATATTGACTTTATTGAAGATTTGCCTATTGTCTTGTCATGAGTTTGGGCTTTGCTGGCAAAATCCCATATTGAAATAGAAATGCAGGAGAAAGATAAATATAACCATACAACGAGAAAACTAATTGCATCTGAACTGTTCCCATACTTTTGTCTCTAGGAGTTTAAGAAATCCAGGATTTTGTTTCATTAGTTTCGGTTCTTTGGCAGGCCATGTTCTCCTCGTTTGCCTTTTTCACTCTTGCACAACATCCCTAAACTCCCGAAACCCCCCTGGCCCCAGCGAGTTTAGGAAGTTTTGGGAGTTGCGGGGGTCGCCCAAACTCCCGAAGCTTCCTAAGTTAAGTACGCTGCACTTAAGAGAGTTCCTGGTTTCCCGGCCGAGCCTTGGGTACGGCGTACTCAATTCTTGAAGGCCTTGAGTACGCCGTATAGGCGTACTTAAGGCTTGAAAAATCGGCCTGGAAACCAAGAACCTTTAAGTCCGGCGTACTGAAGGCCCTCGATGTCCCCCCCCCTCCCAGCAAGAAGCCCAGAACAAGAGCAGCCCAGGCTTGGCTTAGGTCTGCGACGAGGTCCTGTCCATCTCGCGGGCCGAGCATAGATCCTCTGAGATCAAGGGTTTGGGTCTTTTGGTTTGGGGTTTCGAGGCTTCCGGTTAGGGTTTAGTTTATGTTTATGTGGTTTGGGTTTGGGTTCTAATCTTTTGAGGTTTACCTTGTGGCCTGTTCCATCAGATGGAGTGTTGAACTGTTCAGGTTCGTTATGTTGCCGGAGTCCTTCCTGGCTTCAGGAACCACCCGATTTCAGCGACGCGAGGGGTGAGGCAGGGATTAGGCTCCCAGGACGATCCAAGGTTGCAAGCTCACGGGTTTAGGGTTTCGAATCTCCTAGCGCAGCTTCAGGGACTGTGCAGTTGTTCCTGCTCCCTCTCAATGCAGCGGGGAGCCCTTCTTGAAGCTGTTTTGTAAAGCATAGGAAGGATCCGTCCCGAAGGGCAAGGATCTTACTTTTTGTACATTTTCGCCTGCCTCTGGCCAATGTTCAATTGCCTCAATTTTCACCCAGGAGCTATGGCTTCGCGGCTTAAAAA